ATAATTACAGTAGACAATTATATTTATACAGTAGATTTTCAATAAGTCGAAGTTTCTTACTCGAATTTTATTATCGTTCCGAATTAACTCCCATCAAGTCAATCCAGTCTCTATTTTTATTTATCAAAGTAGGTTTGAGATCGCATTTCATTAACTCGAAATTTAAGATCCAGGGATTTTATTTCACGTATTATTTCGTGTGCTTTCTTGAGCGTTTTCAAGGAGTTAGACTATATTATCACGAAATTGAAGATTGGCACCATATAGAATTACGTCTTATTAACAGGAAATAAAAATCAAAATTTTTATTGATGTTTTGAACCTAAGGTAACGATCTTATTCTTAAATGTAAATTGACTAATCAAATTCTAGTGCTTTAAAATTGCCATTTTAAAACTTTTTAGGTTTTTAAAAATTTAAGCATTTAACAATTTATAAATGTGACTAATACGGCCGCGATTTAGGCTAACATTTTACTGAGTTATATTAAATTTATGAGCTTATCTATATTTAGAAATAAACATTCATCCTGTATAAATTTCACGATAAAGTTTGAATCACACGTTAACATTTTCATTGCTGATAGTGATCAAGTTGATCGGTAAATTGATCATTTTAACTGGGAAGTAGATAGAAATATAAAAAAAGCAACAACCAAAAAAAACATTTAGACCTAACTCTTCTTTTAGAAGAGACAGGACAGGTAATGAAAAACTGCATCGTTATTAATTAAAACATCATTAAAGCTTTGGTGTTTCTGCAATACTTATTAGAAATACAGCAAATAAGATAGCATTTATCCATGCTATCTTATTTGCTGTATTTCTGTCTGAGTTTTTATCTAAATGGCAGGAAAAGTTAGACATCCACACGATCGACGAAAACTTATTATTATTCGAATAAATTGGAATTTCCATCAGAAACCGTCGACTATATCGATAACTGGCCGATCTCATTACAATGCATGACGAAAAAGAGTCGAAGATTTTGTCAACGTTGACAATGACTTAGCTGTCTCCTGACACTTATATGAAAAATATCATCATTGTTGAAGTAAAGAATCAGGCACATAATGTAAGTGTTTAACACGAAGAAGAAGTAAATCTTATCAAGAACAAATGTTCCGCTTCTTCTACATGTAGAGAAGCCAAAAATGCTCTTGAGCTTTTAAGAAGCTTTCTAGAAAATATAACATTAGGACGGCTGAACGGTTGAAGCGTCAGCTTACCGCCCTGGAAACACGGTATCGAATCCAAAAGGAAAGAAAAAAAACCTCAAAAATTTTCCGGGGACGGTTATCCCGGATATGTTGAACCCATCCCTTACCAACCAGTCGGTCCCTTACCAACTTACCAACCAGTTTCATTGGAGGTTTGGCCGAACGATGACTGCAAAAAAGCCTACAGACGAGGGGGAAAACAGGAAATAAATTAATACCAAATTTTACTTTGTATTTCTTGTATTTTGTTTCGAATTATGACATATTTGAAGGTTTCCAAAGTACTGTACGTAAACAATATCTAATTATTGTAGTTTCCAATTCGTCTTTGAAATATCATATTAACTTCGAAATTTATACCAAATGATCGATTTTTCTATTCTATACAACGATAGAGATGTTAAAATGGAATTAAAAATAATTCAATTGTAACTTTACTTTCTCAGCGTTTACAGAATGTAACACGGTATGATGATGATCGGTCAAATTTTGGCCTGGAGTTTTTTAGTTTGGTTGTTTTTGCATTTTTCGACTCCACTCCATGAGCACAAAAATTAAAAAAAAAATTCTCTTACAAAATTCTATGAGTGTGTGCCAATATCTATTTTGCATTATATATCACTTGTCAGTACTAGATAAACCAAAAATTTCGAAACTTGGCAGAACTGTTTCTATATGTAGGACATTCTATTACATTTTGGTGTTTTTCTTTTTACTCTTTCTGCCCTGTGGGCACTATAAGGGCCTCTTTTAGAAAGATCATTATGGGTTCGGCCAGGCCCACAATGGGGCAGCCGGGTGGTGAGAAACAGGGCCCGACATATCCAGATGGACCATCCTCTGAAAAATTACTGAGAATTTTTCGACCCGTCCGAATTCGATCCCGAGTCCCCCAGAGCGGCAGACTGCCACTTTGACCGCTAGGTCCGTAATTGGCTTATGTTTATGACGTCAAGAAGTTATAAGCAGTAGAGTGGAAAATCTAGTTCTGATTCTGGAGCTAGAACTGTTGGAACCAATCCGGCGGAACGGTTCCTGTGAACTGTTTAAACTGTTGTACTATACGCAGTTATATATATAGATTATTAATATAATAAGCAAAGTCTGTTTTTTATAGCTTCATTTATTGTTTTTCTTTCTCAATAGATGGCAGTACTTCATAACACATTGTAATATCTATTATTGCATTTATGATTACTTTTATTATGTTGTTTTTTAACTTTCACAACTACACCGTATCTCAGTGAGAACTATTTATTAATTACAACGAACGTTTTCAACTTACTCAACAGGCCATCTTCAGGTTTTTAAAATTTAGAACCTTGGTTCTAGCTGAGTATTAATTTAGTATTATTTATTATTAATGTTAATAGTAATATTCTTACATTATTTATTAATGTCATTAATTTTATTATTACAATATACAAAATCTGATTGTTGACAGATGGCGCTACTTCATACCATTCGACATTCTCATCGACAACCTCACTAATTACCTGTCGAGAGGCCCTGATCAAACATCTTACGGAATACAAAAAATTTACAATTACCAGAGGCCGCCATCACAATGTCATCACCGGAACACGCCATGTAGCTGATGTCCAACCAATGGTAGAAGAGTTCTCATCACCATTTTACTCTCCCGGCCGTTACGTATATATGACAAGGGAAAGTAATGGAATCATGTCAAATTTAACCCTCTGATTTTTTTTGCAAGTCTGTACGTTTTGAGATCCCCAGAATCCAAAAAGTCAAAAAACAGAAAAAAATTCCGTGGATGTGTTGTGTGTGTGTTGACATCTATTTCGTATAATATCTCAGGATAGGGTAAAGAGTTACTTAATTAATTTAATTAAAGAAACGAAATTTGGTACGACAGCTTATATATATAGGGGCATTGATGCTATTAAATTTTGGTGATTAAAGGTTGAGGAGGTAGGAAGATAGAGGGGGCCATTTATGTCTTTTCTTTTTTCTCGAGAACGGAATGAGATAGATGAAAATCGAGACTAGAAATGGAAACCTTAGCCGCAGGAGGCCACGTTTAAATATATACGAACTTCCGGTTTGAACCAAAAATTACGTTATTTCAATTCAAACATTTTCTCCTGAACGGAGTTAGATAAATGACCGGCACGACTTGAATGTTAACAGAAAAGTATGATGTACAGGAGCAAGAAACTACTAAAATTGAGAACATTGTGACAAAAATTGCAGCACGGTATTGTGACGATGTCATAATAAATAATTATAGCTCGTTGATTATAGAGTTTCAGCGACTAGCAGAATTTCTAAAAGTCACACGAATCATGAATGTTCTAGCGCGAGAATATCGCAGCGAGATTTGAAGCAGACCGCTTCATCACACGATACTTTTTCTTAACTATGCTCCTGCCGCCTGTGTCCAAAAATGAAAATTTGGATTTCTTTGGATTGTCAAAAGACTAATACTTTTTCGATATGCTTTGCACCCGGAACGAAGGTATTTAGGGGGAAATTAATTTCAGTTTTTAAGGAGAATTTCAGGTCTGTTTAAAGGTTTTCAAAACAGAATGTTGACAATTCTGGCACGTTCAAGTGCAGGGAACGTCGTGCAAGAGCACTTGCCAGCTTTTTGTTATTATTGTTTGCTTCCTTATGCTTAGAATTCTGAAAAATCACAAATGTAAGTCTATATAATATTATTTAAGAGTAATTTAGTAAGTGTAAACACAGTTAAATGAAAATATGTTTTTAATTATAAAATTTTTTAGATTAATAATATTTATTATTGTGCTTAAATAATTTTCACACTAAAGAAAATTAGACTTAAAATTATTTGATTGATAAATATAATTCTTATAAAACAGACTTATTTGGTGCTACAAATTATGGTAAATTATAAATACGAAAATATTTTTTCCATTATTTTGTTTCTTAAAATATGATAAATCTTAAAATTTAAATTTAGTTTTACTATAGTTTTTTTATCACATAGAATTCTTTATTCATAATTTGTTCGATTTTAATAACAGAATAACTAGCGAAATTTCAATATAATTAATTGGAACCTCGGACCATCCATATATTGAAATATCCGAATTGGATTTTTGCTTAAAATAATTATTTTTACTTGTCCAAGTACTCTGTTATGTACAGTACGTATATACATAACTGTGGCCAAATACAGTAAAATATTAAAATCCGGTCTTTCGAAAATTTTCGGCCGTCATGCAAAATAGATTCTCTAAACTCTACATCTTGTCCTTGGTTGGGCATATGTTCTATTAAAAGTAACTTTTATTTTAATATTAAAATTAGTTCCAAAACGCATCGTCTTGCTTTCTTGCTCGCATTTGTGTTCACTATGTCTTGAAATTTCTTTCTTCCTTTCACAATTGAAAGAAGATTTGGATTTTTAACACTGAATCTGATGGTAATTCTATTCTAAAAACGTCAATGTTGGACTTCCGATCATTGTTCGGAACTGGGACTGTATTTTCTAACCAAGCCTGTAACTGCTCCCTATGGAATTACCAAAATTCTACACATTTTTATTTTTTTCTGAAAATTGAACCACTTGGCTTTTTAGATGCCTTCTTTGTCTAAAAAATTTAAAAAATATATATTTTACTTTAAATAAAAATGCCAATTAAAACAAGATTCTTAAAACAATGAAATCAAACGTTTTTCAAGCCAAATTTTAAATATCTCGTAGCAAATTTAAATAAATGAATTTGGCTCGGATAATATAATTTAGCGTTAAATTTTTTTATGCATGATTTTCGAACAAACCGAAAGAGGGCCTCAGAAATAGAAGCTTCTGGCACGAGGTGGCGCAACAATCGGCAGAGAAAGTTATCTCATGTCGTTCGGCGGAGATCGTCGAGATGTTCGAGTTCGACGCTTTCGTCGCTTGCCACCGCAGACAATTGGAATCTGCCGGAGTTCCGAGCTATCTGTGGTCCACTCTTTTCGTTAAACTGCAGAATAACGTGAGTATTGATCGGTCGCCTCTGGACATGCTGTAGAGTGGAACGCAGAAAACCCGAGCTCCGAACTCCACGTGCTGTAAATGTTTTTCGTGTTTGTGCGCATCCCGACAGCCACTCCTACTCATGACGTAATTGCCTAACTACCCTAACGTTACCAGTTAAATTCGAACGTCTCGAAATTAACAATAGATATTTTCCCGAATTATTGCAATAAATTTCCAGATTTTGTTATAACCCGTTAGAACTAGGTCTTCAAACTTAAAAAAATAATAAAACAAAATAATGCATACGGTTTATTTATTATTATTTTTCCTTGTTGCATAGGTATAAAAGGAATTAACAATAAAAATACTTTGGTCTTATACAGTTTGACTGGTAAACTTTGTAAGGATGTTATGGTTCTGTTAGGTCGTGCACTTGATGCAATATCTGAAAACAATCCCGTAATCGTGGTTTTTTTTTTTTCCTGTGAGGTGATAGTAGTACCTGGCAGCAATAGGTGTACCTGGTTCAAGTGCATAATACGCAAGTGAAAACATGAGATATTTAAAATTTTGATATAAATAAATAAAATAAAAAATTGGTCGTATTCATTGGTAGACTGAATAATTTCGAAGGGCAATGTCCAAAATTCCACCTAGTTGCGGGACTGTTTTAAAATCACAGTTTCGTTTTATAAAATGAGACTACAGGTATACCTCGACTTACGTCGTTTCGAGTTACGTCGTTCCCGATTATACGTTGTTTGTCAAAAAAGTATATGGAAAAATAAAAATCAAATTTAAGTTATTTTATTCGACTTTACGTCTGTCCGCCACAAATATTGAAGTCGTAATATCACTAGAAAAATGTGTAAAGCACATAAAATCATATTAAAATATATCCATTTACAAGTATGTACTGTATTTACAGTACATGCATTCGTAAATTTAGATTACTTTTTTTCTGTACTATATTAAAAACTAAAATTTATTTGTTTGTAAGCTTAAAATAGATCCTTATTAACCATACATTATTAAAAATGCATTAATAAATAAAATACAGAACCGGAATTGGCAATTTATGGTTTAGCCTAGTGACAAGTAGATTCGGAGACAAGTAAATTCAACTTACGTCGTTTTTCAACTTAAGTCGTTTTCCTGGAACCAATTACCGACGTAAGGTGAGGTATAACAAACTTTTTTATTGCAGTTTTAAGAAATTTTATTCTATTCAAAAAAAATATCAGTAATGTTTAGTTTTGTTAATTGCAATAATCTGATGATGAAAGGTTTTTCCTTTATGCTTGTAATGCTCTAGATGTATTTGAGCATTTTCATTCATTCCACTTCTGCATGTTATTCAAAGCATGATATATCCATTTTGTAGCAATTTTGCACATTCTTGGCTTCTTCATCAAGATATGGTAAACACTGGAAACTACAATGCCTATTTCATCACTCATTTCTTCAAAAGCCCCATCAACAATCATTCTTCAATAGTCTTAAAACAGTTTCCACATGTTCTTCATCTGTTACATGAATGGATGCCATCTGCTGCCAATATAAATAATCTCAGTGCTCTCCCATCTTCAGCAAAAGCCTTTGATCCATCAGGCAACATTATGATATAGCAGTGCAATACTGCCATGCATTTTGTCCATGTACAGCATGAATTTACTTGCCAAGAACAACAATGTTCTTGACAAGTAAGCATTACTTAAGATAGTGAAATAAACACTTAAATATTTGATCTCCTATTTTTTAATCACAAACATAAGTGAAACAAAAATGCATCAATGAATATACAAATAATCAAGAAAAAATATTTGGTGAACATTTGGCACGTTACAATCAATTTCCAGCAATGTTGCCAGTTAAAATAAAATAGCACCTACTGAAAAGTAGTGTAATAAAGGTAACAACATTTTTCAATAAGCTTATTTAAAACTTTCATTACAAAAGTTCTTTATACCCAACCAATTCTTACTTTCTGGATGTGCCTCATATAAATGGATTTCAGGAAATTGCCATAATCTTTGAGATCAATTTTGAAATAATAATCAAATCTCTACCTGTGGATTTGAAATTGATTTTCTTCCAATTTTCCTATTGCACTCAATTTTACTGAAACTGGTAAATATATAAAATATGTTTACCAGTTACCATATGGTCTGAATCACACAGAAGTTATTCAAAAATTGCCTAGTTCGATTGTATGTGCAGCATATCATGTTTCTTTGATGCACCAGTTGTTGATTTGTTTATGACTTCGTATTTTCGTATCTATCGTAATGCAGGTATAAATGGAGTGGCTTTTGGTGGGGCCATTGCTTGTGGTATTTCAGATGGATTAGGATTTGGAGATGTTGAGCAGGAAAGTAAATGTTAGGTGACATTTAAGTGCTCAAAATTGAAACTCAATAACAGTTATAGGCAAAACCTTATTTCTATATCCATTAAGCCAAGTATTAACATCAAAAAATATGAAAAAGCCAACAGAGGAGGGGAAAATGTCTTGACAAATAAAGAAGGATGTAAAGAAAAGCTTTGTGTCAATTGTACTGCACTTCATCATTTTGGTCAATGCATTTTTGTACGCCCATGTCATACCGGCTCACTGCTATGTCATGTTAAACCAATTGAAATTCATCACCAATTGATGGAAGTGTATGGTGAGTCATGCTCAGATGTCAGAAATGTCCTCAAGTGGTGTAGGGAGTTTGCAGTTGATCATATTGAAATTCATGAAAAAGAAAGAAGCAGGAGATTGTCAATTTTCGATGAGACAGTCACAAAGGTTGAGCAAATCATGCGTGAAGATCGACAAATCACTCTGGGTGATCACTGCATTTTAGTTCTTGGGGTTTCCTGTAGCACCATTTATAGGATTTTAACAGAAAAGTTGCAATACTGGAAGGTGTGCATAAGATGGGACCTGCGACATGGCGGTAAGTGGGTATGACATGGGCATACAAAAACTGCCAAAGCGCCTACAAAAATGCATAGACTGAAATGGCAATTATGTAGAAAAATAGATAAATGTTCAAGCTTTAAAATGATATGAACATTATTGAAAATAAACGTTTCTTTGTATTTTAAAAAAATGGGCACCTTTTGGTATTACCTCGTAACTTAAAAATTTTAAACTTTCTTTGAGATTTTCATTTATTACAATAAAATATTATATCTTTAATATAATTATTAAAATGTTTATTTAAAAAATTAATTTATATTATTCAAACAGATCTTTGATGCTGGAAATGTGTTTACTGTAATAAAAGTAAGTATAGTTTTTTATTGTTTTGGAAGTATGTTGTTTTAATACATAAAATTATTTTTCTGTTGATCTGGCTTAATTAACTCACCTAAATCAGTGAAGAATATACATTTATTAAATGAACTTCAACCTTTCAACCTTGTTTAAAGGTCAGACAAGGTTAAAACATATAATCTTGTTTAAGGTCATAGCATAATTTTTATTTTATTTCTTTTTCTAATTATATTTATTTTGTGTACTATCTTATATTTATTTTAATTCCATTTGTTTTATTATTATTTTTTTATTATGATAAATTATTAACCTATTTTTAAGTTTTATCTTTGTGCATGTGACATTTAATACGTTTTAAATCATTCAATAGTATTTGTAATTTAAAAAATTTTATTTTCTGTTCTATTTTTTGGTCTAGCAGTAGAACCTGATGATGGAATTAAACAAGGTTGAAAATTAAATTAATTAAAATATCTATAACCATGAGGCAGATAATAGTAAGGTATTATCACACCAATGATAATGGGCACAGACACTCAAGAATTAAAGTAAAAACATTTAATAACCCTTTTTATTTTATTAAATATTTTTACTTTGATTCTTGAGTGTCTGTGCCCATTATTATTGGTGTGATAAGCCCTTACTATTATCTGCCTCACAGTTATAGATATTTTAATTAATTTAATTATACCTAGGGCTAAAAGCAATTTCTGTAATAAGGTTGAAAATATTAGTTTGTTTAATAAATCTGTGTTCTTCACTGGATTTAGGTGTCTTTGATTTGTGCTCATTTTAAGATAGTATAATAAAATATATCATTTTATATAAACTGTCAAGAGATTTGGATTCCAATAAAGTTATATTAAAAAGTTACTGTGAAATTTATTATCTTTGAAAAATAGAAATGAAATTTAAGGTTTATGAGATGCTTCTGTATATGAATTATAATATTTTTATAATGCAATTATAAATATTAATTTTAGTGTTACAACTAAGAAAATTACTTGTAAAATTTATATGTAAATATCATCATATATTAAGAAGTATATATTTAAACTGGATTTTCTAATAATAAATACTTCTGCACTAATCCTGCAGATTATTTTAAAAAATGAACATTTTTATGTTCATTTTACTAGTACATTCATACTAGTTTATATGGGCTGCCATTAGGTTCAATTGTAATCTGAAGAAATAGAATTATTATTATTATGATGATCTATAAACTAATATGAAAACTACTTTGTTACTATGACTAATGAACAGGCTTATTACACACCCACCCTATTTAATTAACTTAACCAAAATGTATTTCAGCTTTACTAACCCTTATCAATTGGATGACATACAAGAAACAGAATATATGGTGACAATTGCCAACATTACAATATATGTTAATATGACAATTATTAAAAATTATTACATACATCTTATTAATAGGATTCTAAATTATCACTAGGACAGTAACACAACAATACTAAACAAGCCCAGTAAAAACCTTCTGTCTTCTTTACTGGACTTGTTTAGTATTGCTGTGTTATTGTCCTAGTGATAATTTAGAATCCTATTTATTAAAAATTATTACATACATCTTATTATTGTATTATTAACGTATATTGTAATGTTGGCAATTGTCACCATAAACAGTGGGTGATTGGTTAACAAACATAATCCATTCCAAGACTTTGTTTGTTATCCAAATTGTTTGTTAACTGATTATTGATTTACCATAGATTTTTATGGGAATTTGATTAATTCGTTCTGGAGATGCCAAAAAAAAAAAAAAATACATATATATACAGTAGAGCGTCGATTTTCCGAAAGTCAATAATCCGAAAGAATTCCAGTTGGCAAATTTAAATTTTCGCCAGTGCTGTGGTGCTTCAGTCTTTGGCTATGTCTTGGGCTACTCAAATATTTTACGTTTTTGATACTAAATTAACATCTGAAGTATAATTTTTTATTGTTTTTATATTTTTCAATATATTTATTTTGTTTGTACAAAATAAAAAAGTAATTTTTAACGATACAATAGTCTTTGTTAGGCTTAACATCAACGAAAATTCAATGCGAAGCGACACACAACGGATAAACATCGGATACGTTAAACTATTTTTTTGTACATAAATCGGTTATCTGAAATATCGGTTATACGAACAACCCCAGTCCCCAATTGATTCGGAAAATCGACGCTCTACTGTATATACTTTCTTACTATGTTTATTTATATGTAATAATAAAAATACATATGAGTATATACACAGTCTTGCATTTTTATTAGTCATGTTTTTTCTGTTTATAGGTGTTAAAGGATCTGTCTAATATCAATTGCTTTTCTCTCTTCAGGATTTTTTGGAAGTAATTTATAGCATTATCGTCGTAGAGATCTCCAAGCCTATTAACCTCAACTTGGTTTGGATGTTATTCTAAGTCCATTGTTCTGACATCCTCCCACTTCTTGAAAAGATCTTTAATAGCAGATGTTGGCATTGATCCTTTTTCATCTTCCTCTTTTTCAGAAGAAAACACATCTCGCTGAGTTTCTTGGTGTTCTTCATTTAAGCATTCTTGGAGTTCTTCTGTTGTCAGATCAGTTTCAGGTTCCATTATGAGCTCTTCAATATCATCTTTATTCACTTCCAATTCCAGATCTCTAGCAGTTGTCACAATTTCATCCATAATTTCATGGACATCTCTCTCTCCCTGAATGCAGGAGGGACACAGCTTTTGCCAAGCAGAATTCAACTGTCGTTGAGTGACTTCTGACCATGCCTTTTGAATGAACTCTTCAAGAATATCAAATTTTTCTTTCCAAAACATTTTTAATGTCATCGTTAAGGAGAACTGGCATGCTTCAAAACACCGACAAAACGGTGCTCAAATGTACAATTTCTTGATCCATTGGTTGAATCAATGAAGTGGTATTTGGAGGTAAAACTGAACTGTCAGCCAGGGAAAGTCTTCCAGCAAATTATCTTCAAGGTCTTTTGGGTGTCCTGGTGCATTGTCTAATAGCAACAGTGCTTTTAATGGCAATTCATGGTCTGAAGGTAATCCTTGATGCTTGGAGCACAAACTTCAAACAGCCATTCTTTGAAAAAAGTCTGCTCGACCCATGCCCTTTTATTTGATCTCCACATCACTGGCAGTTTTTCTTTAATTATGGATTTTTTTTTAATGCTCTAGGGTTCTCAGAGTGATAGACAAGAAGCAGGATAAGCTTCATATCACTGTTAGCATTAGCTCCCAAAAGTAACGTCAATCAGTCTTTCATGGGTTTATGCCCAGGAATATTTTTCTCTTCTTTCGTAATGTTGGCATGCACTTCCAAAATAAACCAGTTTCATCACAATTTAAAATTTGTTGTAGACAATATCCTTCCTTTTTAATGAATTCTTCAAATTTGAGACAGAACTTCTCAGCTTCTTCTTTATCTGCACTAGCAGACTCATTGTGAATTACCACATGTTTAATGTCAGTTCTCCTTCTAAACTTTGAAAACCATCCAGTAGTAGCTTTGAATTCTATCTCCTCATGTGACAAATGTGGAGTTTGTTTCTTCAGTTCTTCAAAAATTTCTCTAGCTTTCTCTTGAATGATAGTCATACTAGTTACATTTTTTTCATTTCCCTTTCTTTTATCCAAATTAAAAGCAATATCTCCATTTTTTCATGGATGGAACATCTTTGTTTATCAGATGTGATTTTCATTACTCCTTTAGCTCTTTGAGTCTTACTGATTATATCTTTCTTAGCTAAGATTCTGGCTACTGTAGACCTGTTAAAGCCATAATGCCTAGCAACATCAAACATCATCTGCCCACTTTCTACCTTGGCTATTATCTCTTACTTGGTTTCTACAGTGAGCACAGTTCTTGTTACTCCTCTTTTTAGGCTCCATAATATTATCAGTTTCTTTTTTAAATAAAAAGTTCAGAAAAACACTTACAAAAATTCAGAGAATAGAAATGAACTAGCCCACAAAAAATTATTTAAATGCAGGATGAAATTCGAAATTTGGTATTAAAATGTGAATGAATATCCAATGCGACAGTTAAACTTTCACCTTTAGAAAATAAAAACTGATGCAAAACTTATGGAGTGCCTGACAGTCTCATGAAGACTATAAAAAAATTATTTGCCAGAAAGGTAAACAAAAAGCTGGAATTACAATGGAGAGTTTCAAAGTTCAGGGAAACACTATCCAATTGGTATCAGGTTGAGCATCAATGTTGACATCTCTCATGCTCCAAAAGGTTTCAAATTGTTACCTGAAGACAAGGGAAAATCAATCAATATTTGTTAATTTCCATCACTTCTTTTTATGTTTGTTCAGTAAAGTGTTCATTGTCCAATCATAAAAATCTTTCATGAAAGTATTCGTTATCTAATTTGTTCATTAACTGATTATCCACTATATGCTGTTTCTTGTATGTCATCCAATTGATAAGGGCTAGTAAGACTGAAATACATTTTGGTTAAGTTAATTAAATAGGGTGGGTGTGTAATAATCCTGTTCATTAGTCATAGTAATTAAGTAGTTTATTGTAAGTAAATAATACAGGCAAGAAGCTTTTTAATATAAGATGAAAATGTTAACTAATACAAGAAATTGTGTTGTTGTAACGTGAAAAAATATATATATTTTTTCCTATTATCATCAATTTATGTCTATATAATTGTTTTGTTTAGCATATAAGGTATGGTGTTCTTAATAAATTTGTAGTAATATTATGTTATAAAAATTTTCTCTCTGATTCTATTAACAATAAACAATAAAGTTTGTTGAATCCTCTTCTTTATATGTGTACTAATCAAGTCTATAAAGATGCAAATACTTCCATAGAAAAAACTTTTTTACTTTACTGTTCTCAAGCTTCACCATATGTATCCATGACTGTTTAATTTATTCAACAACAAACCTTTATTATTTCTTATTAAATTAAATATATTATTTTTCTTTTCTTTTCCTGTCATTTTTTTCCATCTTTAATCTTTTATCCTTTCTTGAAATCATAACTCTGCTGCAATACTCATAAGTGCTCATGAAAAGATTGTATACTTTACTAATTTATACTTGATTCCAGATAATATCACTGTACTAAAAGGCCTTTTGCTGTTTCCTTTTTATATACTTTGGTAATAATTTTATTCTTAATTTTTAAACTGATGTTTAACTAATTTATTTTTTTTCTTTCTTTTAATTTTTAAAGTGAGTCTCATGTTATTTCTATTAATCCCATTGACAAATTTATCTGTCTTACAATTCTTTCATATAATTAAATAACCATTCACATATCTGTTAGTATAAATAATGTTTCTTTTAAATCTCCAAATTATTATGTTTTTCATCTGCATTATTAATTCTGCAATCACTCCTGACAAAGAAGTGATTGCAGAATTAATAATGCAGTAATCTTACTTTCTGGCAATAAAACCTTTAACATATTAATTTAATAAAAAATGAAGGATTCATTTTCAGAGATTCAATGATTACAGTGAAGATCAAGAATAATAAAGATAAAAAGTTTGTTTATATAGAATCTTAATCATAGGATATCATTTAAGAACTTAGAAACTAGAATTTAAGAACATTAGAAATCATATGCAGAGGGATTTAAAAACCAATAAAGTTAGAGATTTACAATAGAATTTAACAAACTTATAAACAATGGAACAAGAAATTTGTATAGTTTTCAGGTAAAGTTGTCAAAAGTTTCAAGGCAAAATCAAAGAGAAAAGAATAAAGATGGAAAGAAAGTGTGAAGTAATTTTGAATAGTTTAAAAAATGGTATTGTATATAGGATCCCTTTTGTTAGGATTATTTAAGGTTTTTTACTTAAGAGTGTAAATTTTGATCAGAATAGAATTTAGTTTAAAATTGGTTCTAGAATGAAAGTTTTAAATGCATAATTACATAGGCAGAATAATGTTACTTTGGGCCATGGTTTGAAATTGTAATGGGATTCCCTCCCAACCAGGGCTGTGGGGTCGGAGTCGTGGAGTTTTGGTGTTTTAGTCAGAGTCATCAAAAAATCCACCAACTCCGATTCCTTTTTACTTCTCAACTTGTAATGTATATAAAATGGAAAAGTATTGGAATCATGTCAAATTTGACCCTCCAAGTTTCTTTTGCAAATCTACACGTTTGGAGATCTCCGAACCCCTCAAAAAAGTCAATAAAAGGGGAAAAATTCACACAAGTGTGTGTGTTGGCATCTAATTTGTTTAATTTCTTTATTTTCTGTTCTGAGATATTAAACAATATCTCAGAATGGGTAAAGTTTAAGAAACAAAATGTGGCACTGTAGCTTGCATATAAAGGGGCATTAATATTATTAAATTTTGGTTCTTAATTAAAGGTTGACAGTGTGAAGACATAAAAGTTGTCATGTGTCATATCTCCTAATGAATATTTTACTCGTTATTAGCGTTCAAAATTAAAAAAATAATAATAAAATAAAACTCGTTTCTACCTTCAAAGTAAGCTTTTTTGTCATTTTATAATAATATAGTAAAACCTGTTAAGATGTTCTCGCCTAAGATGCTAGAATGTATATGGGGACATGATTTAGTTCAACCACTTTGACGCTTAATAACTAACTATTGTGTTAAACCATCTGACTCCAATTCTGACCACTCTGGCCACAGAAATTATTAGGCTTCAAACAGGGTGAACAAAATCATGCCCCACACACACAGTCTAACATCCACACATATTGAAAAAACCTCGAATCTTTTGTATATCTCGAAATTTCAAGGTGTCCAGAGACCAAAAATGTAAAAATTTGGGAGGGGTCATTTTTTGACTGAGTGCTACACTTTCCCCCTGTTGTATATACAACACTTTCCCCCTGTTGTATATACAACAGGGGGAAAGTGTACTTTCCGGTTGTATAACAACCGGAAAAGTAAAAATTATCGAATACATGTTTATATATTAGAGGAGTCTTATAGCTTTGGAATAAAAAGTTTTTATGATCTATCTTTATTAGAGCTCTACTTATTGAATCTTTTATTCTGAGGTCATGTGATATCAGAATTTCCAGGTCTCTTTTGGTAACAAGTCCACTCCTGGTCAGAGTCAGATGGTAAGGAAAAGTCGGAGTTGGAGTCAGTAGATTTTTACGCAACTCCACAGCCCTGCTCCCAACCCTACTCCTGCTGCAAAAAATGGGACTTGCATCCCCAGAAAAGTATATTGCCCTTGAGTGAAAAAAGAATCACCTGACCCATGATCAAAACAATTGTTTTGCTCATGAATTTAGGCCTTTTTCCTCAACAAGTTTAGGGTCCCTGTTGGTTCCAGGCCCTGATCTGGTCAAACAACATACCATTTTAGTTCCACTACTGCATAATGGAATGCAAGGTAATTACAATTTTAAAATATAAATGTTCAAACCAATACTTTCTAAACATCAATGCTGATACCTTAAAACCATTGTGCAGATCATAGATTCACCATGATTGTTCTAGATGTTTCTTGATTTTGGAGTTTGTATCTAGACTTGTCTTAAATATTTTTGTTTTTACACTAAGCAATGTCTTAAAATGTATACATATAATGTTAAGTATCTTTACATAAAAGTTAATTTTCTTATTGCTTTGAAAATACATCTTTTATTAATAAAACTTAAGCAATAAACAGATTTTTCTTTTATATGTCATTTCTGCTTTAATTTTTACAATCACTAAGAATAAAACAGAATAAATCATTAAGAGAATTAAAAAGAAAAAATAGAATAGTGTAAACAGAGAAAATTGTAAAGGCTTCAGATTTATTTTTGTTAATATTAAACAAAATATCAATTGTACTAAAATATAGAATAATTTATTTAAGCTTTTATTATATAATTTATTTTAAGTTAAATTCTTGAAAGTTTGGAGTATTACTGGCATTTAAAGTTTTGTTAATGAATTAATGATTTTAGATTGAATATACTGATGAAAATGAAGTAACAACTGATGATGAAAATGAAATTACAGTTGAAATAACAGAAGAAAAATCTGAAGAAAAAAGTCAAACTGATAAACCATTGACTCATGGTTGGAAAGTGATTGTTAGTACAGAAGATGGAATAAAGTACAATGATCCTAAGCAGTATGTTTCAGTAGTATATATATATAAATAAATTACTATACACACTATCCTATCATTAATATCTGGATAGAATTATAATGTGTTGATTATCAGCATAAACATAGTATATATTTTTTTAGAGGAAGATCAAAAAATTAACTGTTTTTCATGATGGAATGATAATAGGTTGGTTGTCATAAGCTAATAGTCAATATATAATATATCAATATATATTAATATAAATATTTAAGATGATGGTATAGATTTTTTTTATCACAGAGCTCAAAATGGAGTTATTTTTTAGTGACAAGTTACTTTGTTTGATATGATTTAATAAAGTTATTTTTGTACAGACTCGGTTACTTTTGTTTTTTGTTAAGTCCTGGAATATTTTGGCAATTAAAACACAGTTTAAACAATACTATGTTTTGATTAGTTATTAATAGCATGATTCAGTTAATGAACCTTAAGTCTACTTCTTTTGAGTCTAAAGCATTATTGGATGCAATAAAAAAATGTTCTGTCACTTGTCAGACTAATAAAAATCAAAAATATATTTTGTGACTTGTTAATTACATTTCTAAAGAAAATGACAACATTGATTAATTTGTGTAACAGACTAGAATAACTTGATTAGATGAATCATGTACCTAGTATATATCTTCTTTAATTTAATCAATAACATACATGTATGTTATTGATCCAGTTTTAGTTTTAAAATAAAATTTTATTTCATTAAATTAAAGACAATATATACTAGGTACCATCTAATCAAGTTATTCTAGTCTGTTACACGAATTAATCAATGTTGTCATTTTCTTTAGAAATGTAATTACAAAGGAATTTTGAAACACCCTGTATAATATATATACTGTACTATATAAAAATTATTTTTAAGACTTTAAACTGTAATAAATAGAGTATGTGTATACATATATAAAATTTTAGTTGAAAATAAACTATGGAAATTTTTAAATTTTACATTGCAACAACTATGAAACATTATTACCAATTGCTATTAATCATTGTCACAATCTTTCATCAAAATCAAACATATATCAGTTGAGCACTATTAAATTAATGAATGAAACCTAAACCTATTTTTATCTTTCATCCTATTAGACTACTTACTATTTAGACTATTAATATATGTTTCAGTATTAATATTATCTATAACATATTTATATATTTATTTAATATTAATAATAATATATTTTAACATAACAGGTAATGAGTATATATTATTAAATTTCAGGATATATCTAATAGATCATGCTTGGACTTACTGTGTAAAAAATGCACGTCAAAATTTACAGGAAAATGAGAAGTTGTTGAAAAGAATGGCTTCATTAATGGATATTGAGGAAACAAATTATTCATTAGATGTATTAATTGAAATAGTATTGAAAGAAATGTGGAGGTTGCTTTATTTACTTTCTTTTTATCTGTTTAGTTTTATAAAAATAACATTAAAACTTTAACATGTAAATTGTTTTTAGGTATAATCAAGCTTATAGTATTAGTGGATTAGTNTTTTTTTTGAAGGCCTAAAAAAAGTGAAATTAACATTTTATACTAAAACTACTCTATTTTAATTTAACAAGTATGTTAATTATTTATTTAGTCATTGATAGAAGACTTTTTATAATGTTTTAAATTTATATTAATTCAAGATTGTAAAAATTTTTCAATAAAAACAGTTGAAATTCCCTTACTTTTTTCTTTTGTCTCATTTATTATGAAAATTTAGTTTGTAAAATTCTCCTTCTTAATACAGTATAAAATCTGAGAAAATATCACAAACTTTATGCAAAGTTATATAATTTAAAATTAAAAACATGAATGGTAATATTTCAAAGTTATTGTATTGATATTTCAGTTATTGTACTTGTTGAAAGTATTCAGTTCATTATTCATGAATTAATGTTTAATATAGCTTAATTATTTTTTTAGGACCAGCTCAAATTCTTTGATATTTTTATATATAAAGTTCTACAGAGAGAAAGAATATTAAATGAAATAAATAAACTAGTTAATATATCTGGTTTTTTAAATATCATTTCTAAGAAATTCTTAAACCAAAAATATTTATTTTTTTACTTTTTTAACAAGTTAAAAATATAGTTATATAGAAAAAGATTGAATCTTCAGTTTGATGAAAGATTAGTTAGATCCCTTTTACATGATCTGGATATTTAGCTATCTAGGCAAATATCCAGGTTGTGTGAAGATAAATATTTGCTTCAGTTGTGAGGCATGATACTTTTCACAGCACACATACACTTGTCATATGAAAAGTCACATGCCTCGCAACGTTCTACTACTAATATGGCTGGCTTTTATCCATCTGGACAAATATCCATATATGAAAGCAGCTTTAGATGTGATTTAAGCATGAAATTTTAGATATTTTACTTGAAATTGTGTAAGATTTATGCTGATGTTAGAAATAAAATAGATAAAACATGTTTGAAGTTTATACTAAATGTATGAAATCTGCTAATTTCAAAAAATTTAATTTAATATCAGTTTTGCAATATATATATTAATGAAGTAATTATCATAACTTGTACAGTATATATATTTAAAAAAATTACTTTTTATTTAATTGTGGCTTTCATAAATATGATTGATTTAATTCTTAATAAATAAAGTGGTAATATTTTAAAATTTAAAATAAAAAAAATACAAATAAACCTGATTTTTAAGTAATGCCAAACAATTTTCCATATTAACAGACTATAATAAGGATAATTTAATAATTAGATATGAAGTAATTTGACTAGAGGTAGGTGGTTAGGCTGCCGTTTCATGATGATTTTAATAATTATAATAAATTAATTTATTGTGAAAGTGATAGCTGGCTGACAGCTATGGACAGCTATGGGTGCTAAAGTCATCCCTAATCATCACTATGAGTGACCAGTACATTTAATCTAAATTAATAGCTCTGAAAGTTAAGGTAAGATGAAGGTCTGGATAGCATAATTAGCAATGCATCTGCACAGTATGCAAGAGTTCAGGTTCAAGTCCCACCAATTTTTTTTTCCAGAAATTCTAAATTAAAATTAATTTATTATTATCATTAAAATTATCAAAAGATGGCAGCCTAATCTTCTATCTCTAGTCAAATTTCTTTACATCTGATTATTAAATTAGCTTTATTAAAGCCCAATAATATGGCAGATCATTTAGCATCAGTAAATATCAAATTTTTGAAAAACGTTTTTTGTGTACTCTTTATTCTTAATTTAATTTTCTTAATGTATAATTGTAAATTATAAAGTTTATACACGATTCTGTTCTGTATTCAGTACATATATTTTTTGAAAATTGATTATTAATATAGTTTATCTGAGAATCTTTTTTGAAAGAAATAAAATTTTAATTTTTATGGATGATCTGAACTTTTAATTTTTATTTAATTCATTTTGTTATTGATATTTTATACTGGTACTTTGAAACCGTGCTAGTAGTTATTAGTAGTAATTCAAACACAAATTATTATTGCATTTATTTTCAGGCACTTGGCAATTTTTATCATCAAATTTTATTTAGTTGATACGTGTTGATATTATTTACACACGTTTTGGGCATTTATTGCCCCTCCTCAGCCAACTAAAAATAAAAGTTCATAATATATAATATAAAATATTTAAAATGGAATATTCTAAGATAAAAAACAGGACAAGTTAAGAAATACATATATCCGCAGATTTAGCCGAATTAAAAAAGAAGTTTCTCCTGGCAAGCTACCCACAAAGACTAGTGAAAAAATGGGAACTTAAGATAAATAATCCTAAAACACAACAGGATAATAAAAAAACAAATAGCATTAAGTATATTGGATTTCCATATATTAAAGGATTACACGAACAAATTGATAATGAAATAAGCAATATGCACTTTAAGTTAGCACCGTCATACCAAAAAATGTATACAAAATTAAAACAATTCGAAAATGAGAAAAAACAACAACCACCAACAGAAACTAAGAACGTTGTGTATAAAATTCATTGTACTTGTAGCAATAATAAATATTACATAGGAGAAACAAAAAGGAAGCTAAAAACTAGATTAAAAGAACATATAGCGGATCTGAAATACAATAGACTAAATTCCGCCTTCCATGATCATTGCACCATGAATAATTGTACAATAGATAAAGATAATATACAAATACTCCACAAAGAAAAAGAAACATATAGTAGAAAGTTTAAAGAAAGTGTAGAAATTCTCAAAAGCAAAAAATGCATAAATAAAAATCTAAGTATTAAAATTAATGAAAACTGGCTAAATATCTTATAATCTGCAGAAACGATAATTTATGTAGAAGGTAATTTCTTGAAATATTTTATGTAAACAGGATTTTTAGAATGAGGTATTTTCTTGAAAAGAAATAATTTGTATAAAAAAGACATTTTAGGATAAAAAGTAATACTGCCACAAGGTGGCCTGCTAGTCATATGACTATAGTAACCAGTGGTATGCTTAACTGGGGGAAAGAAGAGGGGGAGGAAAGGTCATCCCAATAGTTTGCAAAAAGAGGAAATTGCATGATTTTGAAAGACAAATATGTCAATTTTAATATNGAAAATAAATACAATAATAATTTGCGTTTGAATTACTACTAATAACTACTAGCACGGTTTCAAAGTACCAGAATAAGAATTCCGAAGTTGAAATGGCAAAAATCATCAAAAAATGGATAAGGGTCAACAAAACAACAACAATCACAGAGAAAAATTGCAAGATAATACGAAAACCGTATGTTTCTTAGAATAAAGTGTGTTAAGGGCCAAAAAAGTTTTGGTAATTCCATAATAACAAGTAAACATAGGAGATGGAAATTTGTGGTTTTAATATCTCAATAACCTGTAAAATAAAAAGTTGGCTGAGGAAGGGCAATAAATGCCCGAAACGTGTGTAAATAATATCAACACGTATCAACTAAATAAAATTTGATGATAAAAATTGCCAAGTGCCTGAAAATAAATACAATAATAATTTGCGTTTGAATTACTACTAATAACTACTAGCACGGTTTCAAAGTACCAGAATAAGAATTCCGAAGTTGAAATGGCAAAAATCATCAAAAAATGGATAAGGGTCAACAAAACAACAACAATCACAGAGAAAAATTGCAAGATAATACGAAAACCGTATGTTTCTTAGAATAAAGTGTGTTAAGGGCCAAAAAAGTTTTGGTAATTCCATAATAACAAGTAAACATAGGAGATGGAAATTTGTGGTTTTAATATCTCAATAACCTGTAAAATAAAAAGTTGGCTGAGGAAGGGCAATAAATGCCCGAAACGTGTGTAAATAATATCAACACGTATCAACTAAATAAAATTTGATGATAAAAATTGCCAAGTGCCTGAAAATAAATACAATAATAATTTGTGTTTGAATTACTACTAATAACTACTAGCACGGTTTCAAAGTACCAGAATAAGAATTCCGAAGTTGAAATGGCAAAAATCATCAAAAAATGGATAAGGGTCAACAAAACAACAACAATCACAGAGAAAAATTGCAAGATAATACGAAAACCGTATGTTTCTTAGAATAAAGTGTGTTAAGGGCCAAAAAAGTTTTGGTAATTCCATAATAACAAGTAAACATAGGAGATGGAAATTTGTGGTTTTAATATCTCAATAACCTGTAAAATAAAAAGTTGGCTGAGGAGGGGCAATAAATGCCCGAAACGTGTGTAAATAATATCAACACGTATCAACTAAATAAAATTTGATGATAAAAATTGCCAAGTGCCTGAAAATAAATACAATAATAATTTGTGTTTGAATTACTACTGATATTTTATACTTTAATTTTTATATTTTATTCAATAAAGAATGAACATAAAGGAATGAAAATAGTGTTTTTATTTTAAACAATATTTTCATTATTCCTTTATGTTCACTCTTTATTGAATATTAAAAATATTTGAGAAAAACTAAAAAAATAAAGAGTGAACATGCCAAAATCAGGATACTAAGAAAAATTCATAAAGATTTAAATTCAACCATTAGAGCTAAATGGTTTTTTTAGCAAAAGGTACTTGACAGATGTATGAAATAAAAAATCACAATAGTGTTTTGTTTAATTCACTAACTGTCAAAATGTCAGCATCGGAATTGGGACATTGCAAACTGATTTTGTGCATATATAGTGAAAATCTATCTTTTACAAAGGGCTAGATCAGGGGTGTCCAACCTTTTTGTTTCTCTGGGCCGCATTGGAAGAAGTCAAGGAGTTTTGGGCCACAAGTATATATAATATATACTTGTAATTTCCTTAAATATTCGGCCACAAGTATATATAATATATACTTGTGGACGAATATACAAGTATATTTAAGGNGGGCTAGATGGTCTCTGATTTGAATGAAACTTGGTGAGCTTGTAGTGCTAAACACAAACAGCTCCTTGTCCAAATAATATACCCACTTCTCAAGCATATCTGAAGTTTTGCTTCTTGTAATGGCAATAGCTGAGTGGATAAGATGCTAGGTGCTGGAGCTATATAATATAGGTTTGACTTTACAATTTCTGTTTTCTTTTTTTTTTTTTTACATGTGTAACAAAATAATTTTATTATTTTACTGTATCATTAGCATTTTTATTACTGTTACTATTCTTCATGTTTAAAGCTTATAAAATGAGATTAAAAGAACATGATGTCATTTACTGTTCAGCAAAAATGAAGCTTCTGTAGATGTCATTAAATAAAATTTTTATTTCCTAATATTCAGATATTTTTGCTCATATTTATCTACTGTCACCACAAGCGAGTAATAGCTTGTATCATTTAAAATAAGCGAGTAATAGCTTGTTACTCCTCAGATGTTACTGCAGATGATTTGATAATTGTGTGAAGAAAGTTCCAATCTTTCTTTATGAGATGTAGCAAAAAAGTGAAAATGTCTTAAAGCTGTTTAAAAAATAATGTTGTGAGCTGGACTGAAGGGTTACAAAGCACAGATCATTCTAGGATGGACACAAAGCAGACTTTAATAGTGAAATACAGATCACACAAGCTATATGACAGTTTGTTGACCAAGTGCTGGTATTGAAATGTATTGTTTTGTCAACTTTAAAAATTGTTGGTTAGGATTACACCTTTTAGTTGCTAAGGCACTCCAGAGCATTGTAAGATAAAGAAGAAGGCTAAGTTCCCTAAAAAGTTTGTGGATGGCAGGCCATCAGTTGTTTGAAAAGCAGACTGTTTGTTTCTACTGGGACAATGAATGTGAACATTTACATTAAAAAAAAAAAATGGCTTAAAAACATCACTTGCCTTTTTTGAATTAGCAATTGTTCTGGTCAGATCTTTCAACTTGTTCCTATTCTACTACTGTGTTCCAAAAGAATGCAATCTGCTCTGTCAAACATGCAAGAACTCCAACCAATCCAACAGTATTGGTTGGTTGATAAAGGAAATTTGTAAAAAAAGGCAAAGTTGCATCAAAAAATGTAACCAAAGAGCTTGTGACTATTGTTCATCATAATCTGTTCAGCAGGGTACAGTATTGCTTAAGGAGATTGTGAGCCATTTTGTAATTACAATAATAATGTGCAATTTTATAATAAATAAGGTTAATTTTGCATTTCTTGTTGGTTTTTTATTTGTGGGAAATTTTCAATGTCTTGATTTTGGTATGTTTACCTCTTATTATTAATATTTGTATTATTTATTATATTTTATTTATTACCATTATTATTATTATTATTATTTATTTTTAGGAAGGTGATGATGTTTCTCCAATTTGGTATATAATGGATGAATTTGGATCAAGAATACAACATTGTGATGATCCTTCATTTCGTGTGGTTCCATTTTATTATTTGTTTACAGGAATAATATTTTCAATTATGTTTCCTATTAAAATGCTTAATTATGGAGGTAATTTTCTAAAATTAATAGAAAATTTAAAATACAAATAATTATTATTTATATAAGAGAATATTCAAAATAAAATATATTATAAAGTTCACATTGGAGAGGAACATACAAATACTTAATTATATAAAAATTAACTGAATTTTAAAAGGTAAACTGCTCATATATTTGTTAATCTCTTAGAATTCATTTCACTAAATCCAACATTTAATTCATTTCAAGGCAAATTCTCTTTTTTCTAATACAGTAGAGCGTCGTTTATCCGAATCGATTGAGGTTGTTCAGATAACTTATTTTTTGGATAATCGATTATGTACGAAAAAATATATTAAGCTATCCCATGTTGAAATTTTTCTCCATTGTGTGTCGCTTCACGTTGAATTTTTGTAGATGTTAAGCCTAATGTAAACTTTTTAAAATAATGATCGTGGCTATTGTATCATTTAAAATTATTTTTTTATTTTTTACAAACAAAATAAATATATTGAAAAATATAAAAACAAAAAAAATTATACTTTAGAAGTTAATCTAGTATCAAAAACGTTCGATTCAGCACAACACACAGTCTTCAGAAAAACACCACACAAAAGTGCCGATGCTGCCAGCTAAAACACACACATCAACAAAAAAAATATTGGAGTAGCCCAAGATATAGCCAAAGATTGCAGCGCCACAGCACTAGCGAAAATTTAAATTTGCAGGCTGGAATTCTTTCGGATAACTGACGTTTCAGATAACCGACTTTTGGATAAACGACGCTCTACTGTATTAATAAAACGTGTAAAATACGCTGTATTATATTGTAATAAAAATGAACAGAATTAATAAAAAATACTGTAGAATAAACTTCAAAAAACAAGAGAGAATATCCAAAGAAAAATATGAACTCAAGGTTGATTGACACGAGGTTGATGTAAGAAGTGTTAGATAAAAATTATTTTCTGCAATCTTACTTTTTAAAATTTTGCTTTCCCAAATTCTGACATGAAGAAGAAATTGAGATATGTAAAAAAATGGTCACTTTTGAACAAAGAACTTAACTTAAAGAATCTGCAGAAATAATATTGTAAAGCTTTGAGATTATAAACAGAAAAACTAATAAAAATAACATCAATAACATAATAACAGAATTAAAAATACTATTAAACAAATTATGAAAGAACATCATTAAAATAAAGGATTGAAATACTCTAGAAAAATAAAGATAATTTAAAGTAGTAGTTTGGAAATACAAATTGAATTTATATGAAAACAATCTTATTTACATGTAATTTTTTACATGATCAAAATAAAACCCCTTTAGAATCTAGCAATTTTAACTTTAGTAGAAATAAGAATCAAATAAAAACGTATAGAATCCAAAGTTATTTTTCAGGCTGACTTTATTGAAATAAGTTAAAATCATTCTGAACTTTAAAGAAATGAGAAATTCAGTTCTGAATAATTTCTAGATAAAATGCTAATAAAAGCAAATGGATCTGGAATGACAGGTAAGTGCTATTCTTAGTGTGTTGTGCAGTGAAGCACTTACCTGTTATTCCAGGACTCCACATTATGCACTAAAAGGTAATAATACATATTTTTGTGTGCTACAACTTTGTAATTGACAATGTTGCCCTATTTTCATTATAGACTGAATTACAATGGCCCTCCCAGATGGAAGGGCTGAAGGGACAGAAATTCATGCCATCATTTAGCACATGCTTGACACAATATATATCAGCAAAAGGTCTACAGTGGTTTTCCTATTAGTATTTTGAAATAATTGATTGGAGACAGACTTTTGTTACCACACTGTATATTTATTTAGAGAATATTAATCGCATCTAATTTTTCAGGATAAATGCTTCTGCATCAACCATTCCTGCTGTTAACACCAATTGTTATCCTACTCTGGACAATATTCTGTTTGGAACATCGTTCCAAACAGAATCTTCAGAATCAGGGTTTTGAACAGATATCTTCAGAGATTCTGTTTGGAACATCATTCCAAATATCTGAAGATATCTGTTCAAAACCCTGATGAAGGCTTATTAATCAAGCCAAAAATATTAGTTATATCAAAGTTTAAGTTGCTAGAAAAATATATAAGATATTTTTTGTCTCTCTAATTACTGACTAGTTCCAGTTTATATCAGTATTAAAGAAATCAAAAGAAACAAAGATTTTGAAGAATTTTGTAGTTGATGATTTTGCAACTGTTTCAATTAATGACAGATGCACTGGACAACATAAATTGAATAGATGGGAGAATATTTTGAGATATATTAATTGTTTTATTTGTTCTAAAGAGTTTTTATTTTTACAATTAAAAATAAATTTTCTAAAATTTTTTTTCTTGCCAATGANATCTTATGGAAGACTGTTATTTATTATGCTTTATATATATATATTAAATAAAAATAAACAAATTTTGTAATATTTAATGTAATTTGAATGTATTAAAGCTATATTATATTTTTATTCCGGTGATTCTCATAGAAATCAAAATCTCTTCAATCAAGTTTGATGTTTATACAAATAGACAGGCAATTTAGCATTGAAATTTTCAACATTGCTGCAGGAAAATAAAAAAATAAATATATATTGATTCTTCAATGACAGGATAAGGTATTTTCATAATCATATCTCAAACACAAACTTTCTCAAAATCAATCCAAAACTTTAGTATTGATTTAAATTCAAATTTTTTCAATTTAAATACATTTATGTGGGAAAGGAATGGATATACTGTATATTGTTCTGAAATTGTTTTGAAATTCAAAAATAAATCAAATATAAAGTTTTAGAAACAAAAAAAAAATTAAAATTTTACATTTGAAGAATGAGAAATATTCCAATTTTATTTACAACTTCAAGAAATTGTAAAGTAACTTCTAGTGTTTTATGTTTTTGTAAATGCGACTTTGTACATATTACAGTACTTGTAAACATAATTTTTTATAAAGAAGCATATACAGTTAAACCCATATCCTAAAGTAAATGATACAGTGATTAACGAAAATCTTCATTGATCGAATTATTAAATGAAAGAATTCTTACGAGTCATTACTAAAATATGGCTTGTTAAAGGATATATTAAATCGTGGAATTTTCTGTTTTCAAAACATTTTGTAGTTCTTAAATCATCGTAAACATCAGGGTAAATTAATAAAAATTTCCTAAATGATAGATTTATAAGTGATAATTTTGCTTTAATTTAATTTAATTTAAATGATGCTATACTTTTAAGTAAAAATAATTTTTAGAAAAATATTCCCAAATAAACTTAATTAAAATAATTAATAAAAAAATCTATCAACCTATTTTTAACACATTATTAATTAAGTAGTTCTTCAAGATTAAATTTCTCGGTAATTACTAATTTTATTGAGGTCATAAATTGTAAGAATGCTGTTAATTATTAAGAAATTATCATTAAAATTAGCATAAATCTTTTTTAAAGATACTTATAAAGTTTGTTCGTTCAAAGTATATACAGAGTAGCTGAAAAGTCAGTTAACTAAATTAACCAACTTCCCTGTATCTCAGGTAAATGACTTTTGAGCCACCTTATATTATTTAACATAAGCTATTAAATTAGTACAGTATATAAATTTAAAATATAAATTAATAAAAAATTACAAGATGTGAAATAAGTTGTATTAAATTTTACGATAAAACATTCTTTTATACTAATAAAAATATTACGTACGCTTCAATGTAATCAATCGACCAGTACGCAAAATCATTTATATCTGTAAAACTAAATTAACATGGAGCATTTATATTGGCAATACTTTAATTACAACCTATATTGCTTTGGCATAATGGTAATAACAATAATTGTACATCAATATTACATTTATGACATAATAATTGGAACAAATTCATCCAGTGTGAACAATTACGAATAACCAAATAATTTTGTTCAATCTTAATAACAAATTTTACAAAGAAAGAAAAAAAAAAGAAAATTTTTTACTCTTAACATATATTATATACCCAATTTTGCCAGTTTGAGTCAAGTGTGAAAGACCTCAGATTTAAAGCTTGACTGAATAATATCATTTCATGCTACATTGAATTAAATACAAAGTTTTCAATTGTTTTTCATCTGACAATTTGTCAAAGATGTAATCATTTTCGATTCGAAACAAATTAAAATCTATCAGTTGTTACATTGAGTTGTCGACAATAATACTTAAGGGGGGGAAAAAACCATCCAAACATTTTTTACTGTTTGGATTTTTAAAACTTAAACATATTTCAGCCAGCAACTCTAAAAAAATCTTTACAAGTATTACAAGCTTTTAATTATCATTTACATAAAAATATTTTATGTAAATTATAGACAGCTTAGCCAAATGCATCCTCATAAATTTGTGAATCAATTTCCTTTTGAACACATTCTAACAGTAAAGGATTTATTTGCATCAGTATGTCAGAGAGCTGCCGACAATGTTATAAATGCAGAAACACTCGAATCTTCTCCTCAGTGGCTTGCAACAACATATAATTTGAAGACAGAACTTCCAAAATTTGTGTCTTATTATCAACAAAGAGCAAAACGGTATTTATATTTTTCTATCCATAAATTAAATTTAATGTCATCATCTAAACAAGTTTTCTCAGTGGTTTAGATAACTATTGGATTTGCAAGCCTTGGAATTTAGCAAGAGGTTTGGACATGCACATTACAGATAATTTAAATTATATTCTACGACTACCATCTACTGGTCCTAAGGTACTTTAAATTTTATTTTTGGATTTAAATATCTATTAATTACATCTTAAACTTAGAGTTTCAAATGTTTTTATTTTAAATGATAAAACCGTATATTTTATTGACATTTTATAAAAAAAAACAATATTACATGAATAATAATGTTTTGATTTTGTGTTTGATGTTAATTAAGCTATTGTTAGAAGCCAGGGATAAAGGTCATTACATGAGGGTTACTAGGGATATAGGAGGGCTATTAGCTATGAATCATTATGTAGATTCATCGATAAGAGATTCAATCTTATATTAATAAGAACTAACTTCCATTTTAACAAATATAAATACAGGTAGCCCTTGGTTTACGCCGGCCGATTCACAATAACGCCGCTGCACAATTTGCGATTTTGCTGTGTAATTCCCCGATTTTCCCTATGCCAGACTGATTTTCGTTTCAGTGTTGACGTATTTACCGAGCCGTGACATTGTACATTCGTTAAAACAAAGATTTTTATTGAATATATTTATTTTTTCTGTTTAATATTATTGGGTATGTATACATTTGCATTAAATTAATATTAAAATACTAAACGTTTAGGTACCCACGANATATTAAAAAAAAAAACCAATTATATATTAATAAAATGGTAAAACTATGCTGGAACTATAAGCTTTAATCTTATGGAAGACTGTTATTTATTATGCTTTATACATATATATATATATATAAAATCGCTGACAAACTACAGCGGAAAGTTGACAGAGAAAAAAGAACAATAGACAGATGGAAATGAACGTCAGGCGAGAAGGAATGCTATTGTGTAGCAAAAACAGCTTCCCACCATATGACTGTAATAGACAGTAGATCGATAATAGGTTTGGTAGTTATGATATAAGGCCAACATTGCAGATTCTACTTTGTGATTATCCTATAACTGAGAATAGGCGATGAAATAAGAGGAAAAAAAAATGGACCCAACATTCCCCGTCTACTATTACAACGTTTAGAGTCAATAACCCCGAAGTTCGCCATGAATGTCACGCTAAAATGACGATACTTTTTTAACACGCAAATTTTAATAACATAAACAAACGTTTTATACGCGAATTTGTGAGAGAAAACAATCTCATTCGTGCAAAGAAAAGCGTTTTAATTTTTAGGCACTGACCGGATATACGCCACGAAAAAAAAGAGGAAAATAAAAAAATATAAAAAAAAATCGATGCGCGGAATTCCCCCGATGCGTAAATCAATATTGAGAAGGGGGAAACAGCTGCGATCATTAGTTTAAAACAGAACATCCCAACCGGTAGTGCGCGACTCCAACGAGTATGCACTTCATTTCTGCACTTTTTACTACGTTAAAAAGGTTAAGAAGCGGCTGTTTATAACGTCTTAAACAAGAAAATATTACTACGAGATGGATGAAACAAGTTGAAAAGTGTATATTTATAAAAGTTTCGTTTAAAACAGCAAGAATCTGTATACAAAAGTACGCGTCCAACCGCCATTTTTTTTTTTAAATGGTGTCATTAATCTTTGCGGTGAAAAATTACCCATTAAAGTTTGCACGAAAGTTGAAAAATATAAAGAGAAAGGAAATTATATACGCTTAAAATTTAGGTAAAACTAATTTTCTGCATGGGATCCTTTGCTAACGTTTTCGTTGTATGCATGTCGTGTAAGAAGGCTGCTTTAGTGATGAAAGTCGAACATTTGGATAACCTAATGTCCCCGTCGAATAAACATGAGTAGTAAATGGAAGGAAAAACCTCCGCACCGACGAAATTCTAACTTAAAATCGATATTTTTTTCCTTTTTTTTTCTAAGGAAAAAAAAAATATTCTATGCGCGTTATACCGAATGAACCGCGTTGCAGGAACATTTCGGACGATTTTAAATTATTTTAACATGAATATACGCGAGATTTCACAAGTTTTTTCGATTTTTCAATGTTTAAATACAGTAAAAATCGAAGGAAAAAAACGATGATGAGTAAAAGCAATGCGTTATTGATTCCATAATCCAACCATTAAGCCAACGACGGAGTTTCAACTTCGTTTTTTTTAATCTAGAAAAAGTCTTTGAAGATGATATTTAGATCGTGATCATATTTACAGGCATAAAAATAACAAAAGAAAGCATTAAGATTATAAACAATGACAATATATATATATATTTTTTCCTTATCTTATCGACCTTGTGCTACGTTAATGGACGTAGAAAGTATTTATATCAGATAAAACCCACTCAAAGTAATTAATTTATTGTACTTTTTACTGGATATTGCTACTAAGAACGTTAAAAATTCACTAATAATGAATTAAATTAGGAGTTTGCATAATTATAAAAACTATAAACTATTGATAGAATGGGAAAAAACATTCATAAATTAAAAAAAAATTTTAATGATGATGAATTTAATCTATTATATAAACAATAGGAATAATTTGAGAAAAAATTTTAAAAAATAATTTAAGATTTAACTAATGATAATGAATAAAAGGTTTAATCTTTAACAAACAAATAACTTTAATTAATAATAATAATAAAGTTTTGAACATAAAAGTAATTTTTTTTATTGTTAATTGAAGTTATTACTTCCATTAAATAGCATATGTTATTAATTTAAAATAAACTAACTAATTACTTTGCTTAACAACATGCAGAACAACCACCTTTTCTTACAATGGAGAAGAAGAAAATTACCAAAATTTAATAACTATTGGATATGATTTATGACTAAGTTCAGAAAATTCTAAAATTCAAATTTCTTGATAAAATAATGTTAAACATATATATTTATTTATGTACATTCTTTAATCTTGGAAAGATTTTAATATCTGGAACCCTGCCAAGCTACTACAATCTACTGTATATCGCCATAATATCAGGCTTTAAAAGTTCTAAGAAAATAAAAGAATGAGATTCCTAGAACATTATACAATAGAAGAAAAAAAAAATCCCTTACTCTAAACAGCTGAGTAACTGGGATTTTAGATAAACAGTATACAATACAATTGATTTCTCTACAATATTTGTGAAGGACGCAAATGCACTTGATTCGGTTATTTTTGAAAATAAAACTGATTATTATAATGTATGTTTATACACAACTACAAATTAAATCTGATTATTACTGTAAAAGTGTTTCCTGGCAATAGATTAATTTTTTTTTACAAAGTATTCATTTAATTCATTTAAAAAGCTCTCTTCATCTTTGTCATTTTTTAAAAATTGTTTTATTCCATTACAGTTTTGAATTTGAAAGTATTTTAAGTGCTCCTATAATTTTTAATATCTTGAATTACAATTTCAAATTACATTACAATGTTCTAGTTCATAAGCATTTGTTAAATTTAACTTGTCATTCACAGCCAGACGCACTTGTTCAAAAGTTGAGTCTTTAATTCGTTTAACTTCAAAGAAACTTTTAAAAATCCTTAATAAAATCCACTTTGTGACTTCTAAACAGTGATAATGAATTGATAGAATTCAAACCATTCTAAGAACTTAAATTTCGAATTTTTTTAAATGTTAAATTTATATACAATGGCATTCATTCTTTTTTTATTTCAACTCCCTTATTTAATAAAATTCCACTTACTTTATAGATGAAAAAAAATTTATAATAAATGTCTTTGAAACTTCTTTAGTTTCAGCATTGGCAAAAAATTTAATTCTTCTTTAAAAAAAAAAAAAAAAAAAAAATATTCGAAAAATCATTTAAAAGTTGAAACCTAATTCATAAACATTTAAGTTCCAATATGACTAAACATCTAGTTCATTTTTAAAGTCCAGTCTGATGCTGGAGTAAGCTTGCCAGCTCCCAGAGTTGATTTTGAGAGTTTTCCCATTCTAATAGTAAAAAAATTTCACGTGATTTGATGTTTTTTACTAAGCAATATCAAAATAATCTTGCCTTATCTTTAGTTTGTTTTAATATATTACCAAAAAGATGATCTTGTCCAGTTAACACGGGAGAATTAGACATCAGTTTAGGATTTCAAGAATTTAGTATTTCTTCCAGTAAGTATGGGAGAGTTCTAAAAACATTTGTTAATTTTCTCAACTTCTTAATAAATAAACAGGTTTTTTTTAAATAATTGTTATACTTCTAGATCTTTAATTAGAGTTTAAAAAATGTATACTACTTAAAAAAGTATATATATATACTGTATATATATTTTATTTAACGTCACACACTTAAAATCATTCAATTAAAAAGAAAATATTTAATATGTCAAGACGAATCGAGTTGGAACTTAAGAGTTTTCTTTTCAAAAAAATTCTATCAAATCTAATGAATGAAGACATGAACACACTTCAAAAAGTCAACTTACCACCCGTGACATGTAAACATAATTATTTATCCTTCTTCCTCATAACATATTAAACTAAGTTGTAGATTTAAAAAATTCTAGTTTAAATCAAAATTAATCAAAAATTATATTAATTCTGAAGATAAATGTTTAAATATGATGCTTTTATGTTATTTCAGTGTTTCATGTGTAAACCAGGATTTGAGATGGGATGGCGTACTGTTTCTTTTTAAAATGTTAGGAAATTTTCACATTGTTTTTATTGATTTATAACATATTTTCTTAAAATTAATTTTCTATGACAAATTTACTAAAAAATCGAAGAAAAAATAAACATAAACTCATTTGTATTTTGTAAATTATATTTGCAATTTCAGAATATAAATCTTGTCCAACCTAATTAGAAACAGATCACAAAATACTTGTGATAATGAAAGCATCTGACAAATTCTTTAAAAGTATGTGATGCACATGAATTTGTTAATATTAAAATATTTAATTACATTTAAGCATTATGTATACATTTATATTTGCATGTACACACATGCCTGCTAGATGAGAGGAGAAAACATGTTATTGTATTTATCCCACTTTAAACACTAAGTATTATGTATGTACTGTACTGTACTGTACATATGTATAGAATATGTATACAGTAGTGGTGTGAGGTGACATTTGATGATAGGGAAGCTGTGCTGGCCTTGGATAGA